ACCAGGCGTCCCACATTTCCAATATGCGGAGACGCAATATCTTATTTTCTTCAGTTGCTGCTGATTCTAGCTGCAGAATAGCCGATGCCGAGCTATCCTTAGGACCGATGATTGGTAGATTGCTTGTGAAGGCCATATGTGCCATTGGATCTTGTGAAGGAGGGGAGGCTAGACTACCAACAAAACTAACCACAAAAACCTGACTAATTTGCACATCCAACAACCTTGTTAGTTTTGAAACATTTAACATATAGGAAATCGCACATTGGGATGCAATGCACCTAACAGTTAAACGCTTCTACCGTGAGTTTGAACGGTTGCATGTTTCATCCCGGCCTTAACTAACTTTACCTCTTTTTTTCTTGCGTAGTTCGGGAAGATTGGGAATGGAGTAAGTAAGCTAACTCTCTTTTTTTTTTGGAATTTTGAAAGAAATGATTTAAAAGAAGAAAGGAATTTTTTTTGATTTTTGTTTTGCTTTTTGAAAGAAAGACTTCTAAAAATTCATTTGCTTTTGGTTTGAACTTCGAGAATTTCAAAAGTAAAAAGAAAATATTTTTGTTTGAATTTTTATTTGTTTTCTCTTTTTCTAAAGAAGAAAGAAAAAATATATTTTTTTTGATTTTGGAAGTTGCCTCTTAATTTTCGAAAGAGGGACTTTTTTTTTAAGAAAATATTTTGAATTTTTGAGCTTTTATTTATTTACAAAAGTACTTCTAAAGAAAAGCAAAAATATTTTTTGGACTTCAATTTTTTTCGAAATTTTTTTCTTTTATTGACATTTATGAAAGAAAGGCATCTAAAGAGTATTTTTTTTTTGGGATTTTTGTTTCTGATTGGATTTTTTTTTTTGAAAAAAAATACTTCAAAAATGAAGGAAACACATATTTTAAATTTTGATCTTTATTGATTTTTCTTTTTATTTCTTTTTTTTTTCGTATGAAAGACTTCAGAAAAAAGAAAACTATTTTTGAGTTTAAAAAAAACCTTTTTTTTTGAATTTTCTAAGGAAAGATTTCTAAAGGAAAATATTATTTTCTTTTGGATTTTTTAAAAATTGGGGTCGGAACCGATGAGGTTTTCCTAAGTATCTCACATCCTGAGAATCAGACCCGCGTAGTTCAGTCTGATTTGACGAAAAATAAAAACCAAAATTTTTGTCAGAGTTTTGGCAGAGTTTCAGAATTTTCTAATACCTACCTCACTCTTGGTTTTTCTATTTTCCTTTTTTTTTGATTTTCTTTCCATATTCTAGAAGCCGGTCAACATGCAAGCCGAACAAACAGATGCGCAAGTAGCACGTAAGATGCATCGGGATGGTCTTTTATTTCAAGTACACCTGTCCTAGACAGACCCAACCCCTTTGTTGAGTCTCCTAAGTCAAATGCACGTGATGCAAACAAACGTTCCTACTAGGGATCCGGCATGAGGCTTTGTTATTCGAAGTTCAAAACCTGGGTATGTGTTCTAGACTGTGTACCCGAGCGGACAACTCGAGCCGAGGAGGAAGCTACGTACCGGGAACCAAAAGGCCATCTGGCTTAGTAACTTGTCCGAGCCTCTTTCTTATTTCAAGGTATGACACTAACAGAATAGGGAGTCTCGACCAGCGAGCACATCCCCGAGATGAGAAGAGAAGGGTTTCGTAGCAGTTTATACACAGTTCAGATAATATCAAAGCGGTGAAAGTATCATTTAGCATATTAGGCTCAAATATGTAGGAAAATCAGATAATAAAAAAGCCAATCATAACAGCTATTCTAAGCTCGAATTCTTGAACCCTGAACAGAAGTTCTAGGTTTTTGTCCCCAGCAGAGTTGCCAGAGCTGTCACACCTCCTTTTTTTACACACCACCCCCCGAAGGATAGTGTATTAGGGAGTTTTTTCAATTTAAGTGACATTATTCGAAATGGGATTATTTATTCATTTTTGTTCAGAGTCGCCACTTGGGATAGTTTATTTGCTGTCCCAAGTCACCGGTTTATTTTAAATCCCAAATCGAGGAAATTTCGACTTTCCTTTTTGAAGTCTGCGAACCAGAAATTCTAAGTAAGGAATTCTGTTAACCCGAGAGAAGGTGTTATGCACCCCCGGATTCCGTGGTTCTAGCATGGTCGCTTAAACTGATACAATTGGCCTATTATCTGATTTTAATACATATTTCTAGCCTATGGTGCAATTTTAAACTTTATAACCACTTTTATTCATTTTTTAGGAGAATTGCAACGTCATTTAAAATACGTCTTGAACCACATCACATAAATGCACCAGCAGTCCGCAACACATTCTATATAATATTGTTGGGATTTGGATTTGGGTCACATAAATGCACACCCGAGTTTAGGAAAGTAACATTTTGAATCGCGTGCCTAAAGCAACTACGCACTTTCAAGTTTGCGAGGGCCATGGAAAATTCAACTAAATGGCACGCCTCGATTTCTAAGGATTAAAATTAAAAGGGTGAGGGCCACGCATTTCAAAATTTACTTATTGGACCATGTCTTTTTGGTCCTCAATTCTCATGCTGCTATGCGCAGATTTTGCTCCTTTTCCTTCTGGGGTAGATCGTAACACTATTTTACTTCACAAGTATAGGATTTGATACAGATATTTAAACTTCTTCAATACTCAATGAATTCAAACTTTTAATATCCCGAGTAATCTGAGAATCTAAGAATTAATAGACTGAAATTCAACCAGTAGGAGATAAATTACATAGGTTGCAAAAGCTGGATAAATCAGATCCCACTAACAAATCGATACGATCCCCGAAATACACCCCAAATAAAATTGCGGCATCCACCTCTGAGGCAAGACAATATATCCAAAAAACAATTAACCTTTACTGTCGAAAATATTGCTGTTCTGCAAACTTCAATAAGGCAAAGACTGGCTAAGGACTAACTCATTCGTTAAAGGAATTATTGAATCATTCTCAACAAATTTACGTGACCATGTACTAACATCCAAACACAAAGTAATATATCAATGAGTAACTACTATTTATCTCATAAAAATATCTAAGGAAACACATAGCAAAAAAACTAATGAAATAAAGGAGAATTAGAAATGAACCTTAAATATCTTCTCAGTTGGCAAACTTTTACAGCAACAAACAAAACTTTTACAGCAACAATCATTTAAGGCAAACTAAGACCGAAATCGACGCCGGAGACCTCATACACAACCTCGACGGCAAAGCGACTTCGAAACCCTACTCGACAGTGTTGAACCACTCTATCGCGGGTGATTTAAAGGTGTTTTATAGTGGTACTACAACTGATTTTTAAGGGTGGATTAAGTTACTGCCATGGCTATGAAGCTTTGAGATTTTGCAATTTTGGAATCGGGTGAAGCTTTTGGAAAATGGGTGGTCTATTGTGTTTGGTTGAAAATGGCGGAAGGCTTCCGTTGAAGGAGAAAGGGGTCATTGGTTTGGTTAGGAATCAGTCATGGAAATGGCCGCTTGAAGAAGATGATCCTAGGGGTCGTTTCTTTGGTTGTGAATTGCGGCTGCTAATCTTGGAGTGTATATGGTGTAGTCTATATTTTAGGTGTAGGTCCTATTGTATAGGAGTAGAGATTAGGTTTATATTTTGTGTATTTTGCCAGTTAGTCCCTAAATCTTTTTGTGTTAAGTTCTTAGGGTCTTTTTATTTATTTTTTGTTCCAAAGAATAGTCTAGAAGGGTCCCTAGGATTAGCTTAATGGATATTGGGTATTGATCTTAAGAAATGGGCTAGAAACTTGGGCCTTTATGACTAGTTATGTTAAAAATTAGCTTAATTAACTAAAAGTATAATAAAAAATATTAATTAGCCCTATCTAAGTAAAAATACTTATTAAAGAAAAAGACTAACCGTTAAAACAAACATATTTTTTTGTATTTTATTAGAAAAGTTAAAAGTAACTAGATAAAAATATTAATTAGTTAAATAAGATAAAAATCTTTTTTGTATTTTTTTTTTGATAAAATAAAGCAAAAAGAGTCAAATTTAGTTGAAATTACTATATTAGGCCTAAACTAATTATTACGTGCTAAAATATGAAAAAATTTTGGGGAGGGTCAAAAATCACATGTCTACAATAATAATGAAATAATCTTCCTCGTCCACTCACATTAATAAAACTTTTATTATTTTATTTATATATTTTCCTATATTATTTTTTTTATTTTATATGAAAAAGGTCATATAACTAAAGTAATAGTCTGTTTGGCCATACTTCTATAATCAACTTATTTTGAGAAAACAAGCTTCTATAATCAATGTATTTTGAGAAGTGCTTTTCTCAAAAGTACTTTTTAAAAAAAGTGTTTTTTTGGTGAGAATCAGTTTGTGTTTGACTAATTGATTTGAAAAACACTTTTGAGCTGTAATTAGTGTTTGGCCAAACCTTTTGAAAACTGCTTCTAAGTTTATTTTTCTCAAAATTACATCTTAGAAAAGTGCTTTTGGAGAGAAGCTATTTTTTTCTGCTTCTGCTTCTCTTCAAAAGTATTTTTTTTCCAGTCTAAAAGCTTGGCCAAATAACTCAAATTTTGGCCAAAAGTGCTTTTGGCGACAAAAAAAAAAAGTACTTTTGGACCCAAAAAAGCATGGCCAAACAGGCTATAAGGCCCCGTTTGGCCATGAGTTTTGCCAAAATAAATTTGGGATTTATTTTCAAAAATCATGTTTGGCCATAAATTTTGCCATATTTTGGCCAAATCCCAAATTTCAAATCCCAAAATCAGCTATTGAGCTGATTTGGGCCAAATCCCAAAACTTGAGAATTATATACATGTTTTTTCAAAATAAAATTGGAAATATGTTCTAACAATGTATGTCCAAACATATTTTCATCTTCAAATCAAACTTCACCCAAATCAGATTTTTTAAAATAAATTTTGGATCTATGGCCAAACTAGCTAAGATTCACGATAACGTGCACCAAGTTAATTTTAACTTTAAAAGCTTATGATACGCTATAAATTTTTATCTTCAATTTCTAACATTTTTAAAACAAAAAACCCACCCCTAAGAGAAACCTAGTTTTAACTTTCCGACTAAAAACAGTTGGTTTTCTGCTACGGATTCCTTTGCTCTGTGCGCCTATTGTCTTTCTTGCTACCTTATACTTCTCAGTTGGTCGAGGGAATGCTGAGCCTAAGCAACACTGTCCCAACAGTTTCTTACCCTCAGAGAAGCAGTTTTGCCTCTCCAATTTTAGCTGTCAATCCTCAAAAAAGTATCAGCTTCCTTAAAAACCACACCTTTGTGTTTTCATCATCTTTAATGAGACAACAATCTGAACAAACCCCAACTACGCTATCTTGCAAAGCTTCTTTGGAAGTTGTAAAGGACTCACCCAGGTACTTTACCACCATCCTCTTGATTTTTAATATTTTTTTTTTAATTTGTTTTTAGTATGTAAAGAGTAGATACTTTCTTTCTTAATTTAATATGGGTTTGCTCAAGTCTTTAATATATTAGTGGTTATTTCTTTGTGCGAATTGCAGATAATCGCTTTCTGCTCATTGGGTTTTATGAGTTTACTTTATGGTGGGGTGGCGTTAATTGAAATTTGGCACTTTACTTGCTCAGCTTTTCTTGGGAATTTATTGAAATTGATGCGTTTCCTTTTCTTTTTGAGATTTTATACTTCTTGCATTTGGAAGTTTATTTGTTATTGTGCTCTTCATGAACATTAGTAAGAATATTGCTTTAGATAGTTTATACCTTTTTAATGGTTGTTTAAAATTCTGCTGCTAATTTTGTAACTTTCCTTTTCTCTTTTAATAATGTAAATGATGTTCTAGAATGTGTCAACTGTCAAATAATGCAGTGGTTCAGCAGTCCATGGAATATCGGAAATGGTTGTGGGTGTTTTGGGAGGAGGGCAGCTGGGTCGTATGCTGTGTGAAGCGGCATCCCAGATGGCGATCAAAGTGATTGTCTTAGATCCACTGGAGAATTGTCCTGCTAGTGCACTAGCACATCAACATGTCGTGGGAAGCTATGATGACAGTGCCACAGTTGAAGAATTTGGGAAAAGGTTTGGTATTTTCTAATCATATGTTTATGGATTTTGTTTTTTTCTACAAGCTAATTTGGTTTGTGAAAGCAGGTGTGGAGTACTAACCGTTGAGATCGAGCATGTTGATGTTGCCACACTTGAGAAGCTTGAGCAACAAGGTGTGGATTGCCAACCCAAGGCCTCTACTATTCGTATAATCCAGGTTAGTCTTTTAACATGTCTTAATTTGAATGAAAGAGTCATATTTGATATGCTTCGTTGGTTACTCATCCTAACAACATTTGTTTGCTTGGTTAACTCATTTTTTCTTGTAATAGGATAAATATCTTCAGAAGGTCCACTTTTCTCGTCATGCTATCCCACTTCCTAAGTTTATGCAGGTTGACTTGTGGTGGCAAAGATTTCTTATGTTCATATTTCTTCTCCCATTGATAAAATTTGATGTTTTCACTTATGTGGAAAATATGACTAAAACAGATTGATGATCTTGAAAGTGCTAGAAGAGCAGGGGACCTGTTTGGTTATCCTCTTATGATAAAGAGCAGGAGGTTGGCATATGATGGGCGTGGCAACGCTGTCGCTAAAAGCGAGGAGGAGCTCTCCTCTGCTGTTAACGGTAGTATGCCAATCTGTACAAATTTGTGAAGTGTTTGCTGGTGCTTACTTCTTAAAATTTTTATCCAATTGCAAAAATTAGGCTTTGGTAGAAGAAATGACCAGATAAATAGTGTCCATGGGGTTTCTAGTTTATTCTGTGTTGTGAAATTGCCTTAAGAAGCACATAGAGGTTTAATGTGTTATTTAACAGATTTATGGGCTTCATATTGAGATGATACTCTCACAGGGGGACATCATCTGCTAATAATAGTTGGAGAGCTTCTTTGGTTAAGAATCAATCTTCCACTTTTAATTTGTTTGTTTAGATTTGAAGCTTAATCAGGCCGTAATAATATGTGGTTCAATTTGATTTTCAGCACTTGGAGGATATGGTCGTGGTTTATATGTTGAGAAATGGGCGCCATTTGTGAAGGTTAGAATTTGCTTCATTGTTAAGAGGGTGTTTATCATGCATTTACCAATAACTTTAAAGGGATAACAAATAAATTTGTCTTTGCTTCATGCAATTGTATAAGGAATATATTCATCTGATGCTATTTATACTGTGAGAAAGCACGGGAGAAAATATATTATTGATGTATATACATATGTTACAATGAGCCCTATATATATACACACATAACATGTCCTACTCCTAACATATATTGGATTAGGGTTATTTATTTACTCCTATTTACATGACTATTCTAACACTCCCTCTCAAGCTGGTGCATATAAATCATATGTACCAAGCTTGTTACATATGTAGTTAATACGAGGACCAGTGAGGGACTTGGTGAAAATATCTGCAAGCTGATCATTCGACTTCACAAACTTTGTAGCAATATCTCCCGAGAGTATCTTTTCTCTAACAAAGTGACAGTCAATCTCAATGTGTTTAGTTCTCTCATGGAACACTGGATTTGACGCAATATGAAGAGCAACTTGATTATCACACACAAGTCCCATCTGACTAATCTCACCAAATTTCAACTCCTTGAGCAACTGTTTGATCCAAATTAGCTCACATGTCGCCATAGCCATTGCTCGATATTCTGCTTCTGCACTAGACCGAGCAACCACATTCTGTTTCTTGCTCTTCCAGGACACCAAATTTCCTCCTACCAAGACACAATATCCAGACGTAGAACGTCTATCAGAAGGTGATCCTGCCCAATCAGCATCTGAGTATCCAACGATCTGCTCATGGCCTCGACCCTCAAACAATAAACCTTTGCCTGGAGCTGATTTTATATACCGAAGAATGCGAACAACTGCATCCCAATGACTATCACACGGAGAATCCATAAACTGACTCACAACACTCACAGAAAAGGAAATGTCAGGTCTTGTCACTGTAAGGTAATTTAATTTACCAACCAACCGTCTATATCTTGCAGGATCGCTAAGAGGTTCCCCCTGTCCTGGCATAAGTTTAGAATTCGGATCCATCGGAGTGTCAACCGGTCTACAACCTGTCATTCCTGTCTCTTCAAGAATATCTAAGGCATACTTTCGTTGTGAGATCACAACACCTGAGCTAGACTGAGCGACCTCAATACCCAGAAAATACTTTAGTTTGCCCAGATCCTTAGTCTGAAAGTGTTGCAAGAGATGTTGCTTCAATTTAGTAATACCATCCTGGTCATTGCCGGTAATAACAATGTCGTCAACATAGACCACCAGATAAATACAGAGACTCGAGGCAGAATGCCGATAGAATACAGAGTGATCAGCTTCACTCTGAATCATGCCAAATTCTCGAATAACTGTGCTGAACTTACCAAACCAGGCTCGAGGAGACTGCTTTAGACCATAAAGTGACCGACGCAAGCGACATACAAGGCCACGAGACTCCCCCTGAGCAACAAACCCAGGTGGTTGCTCCATATAAACTTCATCCTCAAGGTCACCGTGTAAAAAAGCATTCTTAATGTCCAGCTGATAGAGGGGCCAATGGCGAACAGCAGCCATGGATAGAAAAAGGCGGACTGATGCTATCTTAGCCACAGGAGAGAAGGTATCACTGTAATCGAGCCCAAATATCTGAGTATATCCTTTGGCAACAAGACGAGCCTTAAGACGATCAACCTTACCATCCGGACCAACCTTGACTGCATACACCCAACGACAACCAACAGTAGATTTACCTGAAGGAAGAGGGACGAGCTCCCAAGTACCACTCGTATGTAAAGCAGACATCTCGTCAATCATAGCCTGTCGCCATCCTGGATGAGACAATGCTTCACCTGTAGACTTAGGGATGGAAACAGAGGACAAAGAAGATAGAAAAGCATAATAGGGTGATGACAAACGATGATAACTCAAACCGACATAATGGGGATTAGGATTAAGGGTGGCCCGTATACCTTTCCGAAGTGCAATCGGTTGATTAAGAGGAGACAAGTCCGCAGTATTAGCAGGGTCAGGTGCAGGACGTGAATCAGCTGGACCTGATGCTGGGCGCGGACGACGATGATATGTCAAAAGTGGTGTTCCTGTGGCAGGGAGTCTAGGAGGAGCCACACTAGACTCCTCAACGGTTGGAATGGATAAGACTTCTATAGCGGAAGGTGAAGGAGGAGCTATAGGAGACTCGGGTAAGACTTCTGTGGCGGAAGGTGAAGGAGGAGCTATAGTAGACTCCTTAAAGGTCGGTATAGGTAAGACCTCAGATATATCAAGGGGGTCAGAAAGGTCAGAAGAGGTAAAGAAAGGTTTAGACTCAAAAAATGTGACGTCAGAGGACATAAAGTACCTACGAAGATCAAGTGAGTAACAACGATATCCCTTCTGAACACGAGAATAACCAAGGAAGACACACTTGAGAGCACGAGGAGCTAACTTATCTTTCCCAGGGGCTAGGTTATGAACGAAACAAGTGCTCCCAAAAACACGAGGGGGAACAGAGTATACGGGTGATTGGGGAAACAATACTGCATACGGTATCTGATTCTGGATGGGAGAGGAAGGCATCCGATTAACTAAATAACAAGCTGTGAGAACTGCATCGCCCCAAAAACGCAGCGGAACATGAGATTCAATGAGAAGTGTGCGAGCAGTCTCAATGATGTGCCTATTCTTTCTCTCTGCAACCCCATTTTGCTGAGGGGTATAAGGACAAGAGGTCTGATGAATAATTCCTTGAGAAGTCATAAACTGCTGAAATTGAGAGGATAAATATTCTAAGGCATTATCACTGCGAAAAGTGCGAATGGAAACACCAAATTGATTTTTAATTTCAGCACAAAAATTCTGGAATATAGAAAACAACTCAGAACGATCTTTCATTAAGAAAATCCAAGTACATCTTGAATGATCATCAATAAAACTAACAAAATAACGAAATCCCAAGGTTGAACTGACTCTACTAGGACCCCATATATCAGAGTGAACTAAAGAAAAAATAGACTCTGCGTGACTCTCAATACTACGAGGATAGGAGGCTCGGGTATGTTTCCCGAGCTGACATGACTCACACTCTAATGTGGATAAACTAGACAAACCAGGCACCATCTTCTGAAGCTTGGATAAGCTTGGATGTCCTAAACGTCTGTGAATTAGGTCCGGAGGATCTGTAACTAGACATGCCTTGGAGGATTTTAGGGAGTTAAGGTAGTAAAGCCCTTCTGATTCAAGTCCTGTTCCAATCGTCTGCCCTGTACTGCGGTCCTGCATAATAAAAGAATCATCAATAAAATATATACCACAATGGAGGGCACGAGTCAAACGACTAACAGATGCAAGATTAAAAGGACAGCCAGGGACATAGAGAACGGAATCTAGAGTGACAGAGGGTAGGGGATTCGCTTGTCCAACTCCTTTTGCTTTGGTTTGAGACCCATTGGCTAAAGTAACAGTGGGAAGAGACTGTGAATACGCAATATTTGACAAAAGTGATTTATTACCAGAGATATGATCAGAAGCGGCTGAGTCCACAACCCATTGTCCAGGAGGACTAGACTGGGAAACACAAGCAAAAGAATTACCAGCAACAGAAGTATTAGTCTGAGCAACAGAAGCTACTTGTGGAGATGTCTGCTTACTTGCTCGATACTGAAGGAACTCATTATACTCCCCTTCAGATAAAGAAAATCCCTGGTTACCTGTAGTCTCAGTCTGAGCAACATAAGCATTTTTGGTTGGGCGGCCATGTAAAGAATAGCATACATCACGAGTGTGTCCAAGTTTATGACAATAGGAGCACTTGGGTCTAGATCTTCCAAAACGACCTCCTCCTCGTCTATTCTCCATAGTATGAGATGCCCGATTGTCCACTGATTGGGATACGAGGACAGATGAGTCAAGTGTCTGTGATGAGCTCACTGGGTGACTAGGTGCTGCAGCAAGGCGAAGTAATCGAGAGAATAATTCATCAACTGTGGGGACGGTTGGACTAGCCAAAATCTGGTCACGTACTGAATCAAGGTCATTAGGGAGTCCAGCGAGTGTAAGAACTAGAAACATCTTCTGTCGTTGCTCTTGTTGTTTTTCAATACTAGCAGAAACTGGCATCAACGTCTCAAATTCTTCCATGACTGCCTGAACTTGTCCCAAGTAAGTAGACATATCTAATTCCTGTTTCTTCAAGCTTGTCATTCGCGATATTACATCATAGAAACGAGATATGTCATTAGTGTATAGATTACGAGCCTTTTCCCAAACTAAATAACATGTCTGGAATGGACGGAACAAGGGCATCAACTTGGAATCAATAGATCGCCACAGGATACTACATAACTGAGCATCGACCTTCTCCCACTGTGTTTTGGCCTTTTCATCACCTTCGCTAGCCTTTTTTGTTAAATGATCTTGAACTCCTTGACCTTTACACCACAACTCGACAGATGAAGCCCAATCTAAGTAGTTTGAACCTCCCATTAAAGGTTCTGAGGTAATCATAACACCGGAACTGCCAGAACCCGGGTTTCTAGACCCGAAAGCATCGACTCCCAAAGACATGGTTGGATTATCACCAAATAACAAAAAGAATCAACTGAAAATTCTCTGAGACAGATGAAGAAAACACTGTGTTTGCCGGAAAAGTACTGTAGCTGCCGGAAAAATCAGTGTAGTCGCCGGAAAAACTCAAAGTGGTCGGAATTAAAAAATAAAAATATGGACAGGCTCGGAATTGCAGGGCGATCCAACTGTCCTGAGAAGCGAAGCCGAAAAATGGCCGGAAGAGGCCTCACGCGCCGGCGCGTGGGACAGACGCGCCGCCGGCGGCAGAGTTCCGACAGGCGCGTGACGGCGCGTGGCGGGCTATTTTCCGGTGATTTTTTCTGGGGTTTGGTCGGATCTCTCTTGGGAACCTTGTGGTGGTGTTGGATTTTGCACAACACTGTTAATTAGTGACTTTGACGCAATAAGTCACTTAGGTCACCGGAAAATTGCACGGTGACTGAGTTCTTTCTTCCCGGAAGTCGCTGGAATGATGCACAGCGATATGTTTCTCACTAAAGCTCTGATACCATGTGAGAAAGCACGGGAGAAAATATATTATTGATGTATATACATATGTTACAATGAGCCCTATATATATACACACATAACATGTCCTACTCCTAACATATATTGGATTAGGGTTATTTATTTACTCCTATTTACATGACTATTCTAACATATACCATGAAGTTATGTTAGTCAGATTTCACTGCCATTACTTGAAGCTCAAAGTCAATGAGACAACCACTCTTTCTGATATCAGAGGGCATCATTAGCTTTACATAGATATTGAAGCTGGGTTTGCCTAACTCGTAATTCTAGATGGAAAGCGCACCTTCTTGAAATCAGGGGTCTTCAAGGCAAACTGAAAATTCACATCGAATTGACAAACCGACTCAAATAAACGGAAAAATCAACTTACAGTTTGATTTGAATTTGTTTGATATTAGTTGGGTTCGGTATATTTGTATAAAGATTTTGATAGATATTTAAGAACTTCATTTCTTTTTATTTCAGGAGCTCTCTGTGATTGTGGCGAGGGGAAGGGATGGTTCAATTGCATGTTACCCTGCTGTAGAAACTATTCACAGGTTTGATTGTGCTTCTTTGCCAACATATTCGCCATTTCTGGTGACCTTTGTGTTTATTTGAACTTTTCCAGAAGTTGACTCTGCCATCTTTCCTGATTACTGGATCTTGTGTGTTAACAGGGATAACATTTGTCATATCGTAAAGTCACCTGCTAATGTATCTTGGAAGAGTATGAAACTTGCAACGGACGTTGCGCACAGAGCTGTTAGTTCATTAGAAGGTGCAGGAGTCTTTGCTGTTGAATTGTTTTTGACAGAAGATGGTCAGGTTGTCTGGCAATTTCCACAGCTATTCAATATATAAGGAACTTAATCATTAGTTATGCATTTACAGATCTCTTCAAAAGTATTTCATTTTTTTTAAAACTTAACCTGTCTGTAATTGTTAGTTTCTTGCAGATTTTACTAAATGAAGTAGCTCCCAGACCTCATAATAGTGGGCATCACACCATTGAGGCTTGCTTCACTTCACAATTCGAGCAGCATTTGCGGGCTGTGGTTGGCCTTCCACTTGGTGATCCATCAATGAAAACTCCTGCTGCAGTCATGTATAACATATTGGGGGAAGACGATGTAATCTTCCTTACTAATTTTTCCTTCTTTTTCCCCCATTATTTGATGAGATTCAGTAAATGCTAATTACTGAATTAGTGTTGGAGTGCTTTAGGAAAATTAGTACACATGGGCATTCTGTCTTTTTGAATATGCATTTTCACATGAATGTGTGCAGGACTATTGCTTTTCCCATCTGTCCCCCTAATACATTATATTGGCTGGCGTGCAGCGATTGGTGTTTAAATTGTGAGCTGCTTTTAGCTAACCAAATGTATTCAATGGATATCCCCAACCTTCTTTTTATTTCTATCCTTTGTTTTTCACTTCCTGCATATCTTTAGGTTGCCGCTCCTCAACCCTCTCTACCCCCTAAAAAGGATGAAAATAAAATAAAGAACTTTATCACAAAAAAGAAAAGAACAAAAGGGCCCTAAACTCAAAAGGAACTAGTAAAGCTATCTTTATCCAATAAGATGCTACATCTTCACAAAATCTGTTTCATGCATTTTTGAAGTCTCTATTTGCTGTTTGCATTAGTACTTAATACATAAGCAGCAACTCTCATATGCTTGTCCAACATTGTGTTTTTGCTTCCAGGGCGAACCTGGATTTCTTTTAGCTAATCAACTTATTGGAAGAGCATTGGGAATTCCGGGGGCATCTGTTCATTGGTATGACAAGCCAGGTTGGTGGATTTGACCTCGTATACCTTAAACGCTATCTTTCCTATTAAAAAACAAGCAAGCAAGTTGAAACTGTCTGCTTCAATGACTTGTAGAGATGCGAAGGCAACGCAAGATGGGACACATCACAATAGTTGGCCCTTCTACGGGCATTGTGGAAGCTCAGTTAAGGGTGATTCTAAATGAAGGAAGTGTTAATGGCCAGCCTGCAGGTTAGTTGTCAAAATGCTTTCATAAACATATTCAAGTTTTATGTGTGTAAATATTACACACTGGTCAGCTGTTCAGGAGTAGTTACAAACTTGATAAAAATTTCTATTTTTAGAAGTATTATTGAAATTGGTGGTCAAAGGTTCATGTCAGGAGAGGCTACAAACATTATGTGGATATTGAAGCTTCTTACTAGTATAAATGCTCTTTTGCATGTTAGAGAGACTCATACATGGATGTCTGATATTAAAGGCCGATATTAAAATTTCGAACTTTATACTCATGTAACGGGATGTCAGGTTATCAGCTAAATTATTTCCCAGTTTTTCGTTTATGTCTCAACCATTAATTTTTTGTATCCCCTGCTTTTTTGGTCTCCCACTTTTTTTTTTTTCATCTTGTTACTGTCATATTCTCTTCTCTATCCTTCCTTCTGTGCAACGATATTAAGCTGTCTTCCAGCTGCATGATTTCTCCTTCTTAATGTAAATATACGTTAACCAATCAAATTTTTTTTGGGATTTATGCTTTTTCTAACTGCGTGATGTTATAGCGGTACACTGTTGTGTTTTACAGACACCTTATAAACTAAGGACAGGTAAAATTAGGTTTTTTCCAGCTGCAGATTATTGTTTGATTATTTACTTGAATATAATGATTTTTGTTTTCATTCGCTATGCAGTTGCACCACGTGTTGGGATCATAATGGGATCTGATTCAGATCTTCCTGTTATGAAGGATGCTGCCAAGATTTTAAAAGAGTTTGATGTGCCTGCTGAAGTATTTACCATTAACTATTGCACCTCGTTTTCCATTTCATTCAGCAGCATGCCTAATGTATGTATGTATCATCACCTCCTAAGTGACCCAAGAATCTTGTTTTGATGCAGGTAAAAATAGTTTCAGCCCACCGTACACCTGAGATGATGTTTTCTTATGCTTTGTCTGCACGGGAACGTGGCATCCAAGTAATAATTGCTGGTGCTGGTGGTGCTGCCCACTTACCTGGTCAGTTGTCTTACAGCACAAAATAACTAACATGTTGTAGGCAGTGTTATCAAAGGCGAAAAGCGCAAAAAAGTTCTAAGGTCCGGTGGGGCTTTAAGCGCAAAGCGCAAATAAAGCGTGGGCTTTAATGAAGAAAGGCGCAAATGGAGAAAAGCTACAAATATATATATGTGTAGTCCAAGACTAATATCTATAAGCATGTATACCAAATATATGGAGAAAGAAATTGAACAAAATTTATGATAAAGTGAAATATCAATTGTTTAGTGTTGCTTTTCGGGATTATGCTCATTGGCAAGAAAAAGTATGCCTTAGAGCCTTGATGTTCTGAAGCGCCCGCTAAGCGAGGGGAAGCGCTCAACATTTTTGAGCCTAACTTCAGGGTTTAAGCGCGCCTTTGATAACATTGGTTATAGGTCTTCTAGTATGCACTAAAATGTGGTTTTTTACTTGAGCAGGAATGGTTGCTGCATTGACTCCACTACCTGTTATTGGCGTTCCAGTACGCGCTTCCACATTAGATGGACTTGACTCCCTATTGTCCATTGTTCAGGTACTTTTGGTCTTTACTCTAGAACAACAGTATTCAGTCATGTCAAGCTCAGTACTTATGGGGGTTAATGTCTCTTGTAAGTTCAATGAGATTTATGGGCCTGCTAGCTGGAAACATACCTAAGATATATTCAATTTTTCCCCCCTTCAGAAGAAAAATTAATAATGATAACAATTTAGGCTTTTGAGTTGAGTCATAATAATAACAAGAGATAAGAATTGCAAAGGAATAATGCACGGTACGTTATTTAGAGGATGAAGTACGTGTCCTCATCATCCAGTATCTTGGTAAAAATAGTTGTGTACATTCTTGGTTGAACTAGTGCTCAAGTACAATAAGATCAATTATGTCTCAATATCGAGCAGGGGTGGATGTAGAAGTAATGGGTTCACCTGAACCCAGTAATTTTGACTTGAAACTTGTATATGCCTAAAAAATTCTGTAAGTGTAAATAATTGATTTTGAACCCAGTAAATAAATGAATTCTGGTAGAATCCTGAACTCGAACCCAGAAAGTTCAATTCCTGGATTGCCTAGTTTTATTTCTTCGACAGATCTCTATGCTTTACTGTAATATAACACCCTGGACTCTGGGATGGAACCATCTCATTGATTGATTTTGCCTAATTTTCATCTGGTAGTAGCAATGCGCCCTGACCTATTAAAGGCCTATTTTCTTTTTGAAATGCTTCAGAATTCCTCTCTGAAGATGCAACCTTGCTCTTATGGTAGTGGTTGCCTGTCTAATCAGCAGGCTTACTAGTTACAACTTGGTAGTTGGGAATGTTTCTTATTAGTTCTATACATATAGCTTCGAAGAAATTTTAGGTGAAAGCAGTTCAAATATCACAGTTTGTTCATTTATATGTAGATGCCAAGAGGGGTCCCAGTTGCAACAGTTGCAATTAACAACGCCACAAATGCTGGTCTACTGGCAGTAAGATTGTTAGGGATCAGCGACATAAAGTTGCAAGCTAGGTATTGAAACCTTCCTCCGTCATCTTTTTTGTAAAAATATCTTCTTCTCTTCCCCCTTATCCCCCCCCCCCCCC